GATAGTACCCTTAAAAAACTTGTATATGTCAAACATGTGGGTTGAATCAGTGCCAATTTCTTGCAAGATAGTAGAAAATAAGTCATTGAGGGCCAATCTTTTGCTCTTCCTTTGCATATAAACTGAGTATAATTGTCTATAAAAGCTCCTCACTTTCATTAATTTTTACTAGTTCAAAACCACCATGTCCAAACAAATCATGGCTTCCTCCTCCACTCCCTTTCTTTTAAGCTTGGTTTTCTTGATGATCTCCTTCTTTCAACTATCCTCACATCAACAATTGTGTCATAAAGATGAGTATCTTGCTCTAATGCAATTCAAAAACAGCTTTGCAATTAAAAGGCAAGCCTCTACAAACGCATCTACTTATCCTAAAGTTGATATCTGGAAATCTCAAGGGCCTGATTGTTGCTTATGGGAGGGCATATGGTGTGACCAGAACACTTCTCATGTCATAGGCCTTGATCTCAGTAATAGTTGCCTTTTTGGTTCTATTAATTCCAACAGTAGCCTCTTTCGCCTTAGACACCTTCAATACCTCAACCTTGCACTCAATGACTTCAATTTCTCAAAGATACCATCTGCAATGGGCAATCTTTCCAGGTTAACTTATCTCAACCTCTCTGGTTCTTTCTTTTTTGGTCAAATTCCACATGAAATTTCAAAACTCTCCAAGTTAGCTAAGCTTGACCTTTCTTTCAATTTGGATTATTCACATCAACAATTGTTGGAACTCAAAAGGCATGATTTGAATAGCTTAGCTCAAAACTTAACTAGGCTAGAATGGCTTGACCTTTCTTCAGTTAGTATAAATTCTCCCATACCTAAGACCTTGGGAAATATGTCATCATTGACATATATCCATCTTGGTCAATGTGGATTGCTTGGAAGGTTTCCAATAGCCATTTTTCAGCTGCCCAAACTTCAAGTCCTTGATTTGAATAACAATTGGGGTCTTAGTGGTAGTTTTCCTGATTTTTACTTCCACAATCAGCTTAGGGTACTTGATGTTGGAAACACAACATTTTTTGGTGAGTTACCTATCTCAATAGGAATGCTTAGCTCTTTGGAACATTTAGATGTCAATAGTTGTAACTTTTCAGGCTTAGTACCACCTTCAATAGGTAATCTCACCAAGCTCCAAGTCTTGATCCTTGCAAATAATTCTTTTTGGGGAGAAAAGTTTCCTTTCTTCTCAAACCTCACTCAACTAATTGAAATAGGTCTTGCTTTAAATCATTTCACTTTTAATGAGGTCCCTTCTTCTTTTGCTGGCTTGACCCATCTCACAAGGATAGACTTTTATCGTAATAAAATTACTGGTCATTTTCCATCTTGGATTACAAACCTAACAGATTTAAGATTTTTGGATCTTGCATATAATATGCTACAAGGATCTCTTCCAAGCTCAATTTCTAGACTCAAGAACCTTGAAATGTTTATTGTTAGCTACAATAACTTAAGTGGTATTGTTGAGTTTGATACGTTTCTTGAACTCAAATCCCTTAAACAATTGGGTTTAAGCCATAATAATTTCTCATTGGTAATCAAAACTAACACCAAAAGAACAATTCCAAAGTTTGATACACTAAGTTTAGCTTCTTGTAATCTAAGAGAGTTTCCAGACTTTTTGCATAATCAGAGTGAGTTGGTTCTCCTCAACCTTCCCTACAACAACATCCCTGGCCAGATACCTAGTTGGATATTGAAAATGAGTGCAAGTTTGTGGATTTTAGATTTATCTCACAACAATTTCACAAGTTTTGAAGAATCCTTCTTTGTTTTTCCTTCTACTAGTCTTTTATATCTAGACCTTAGTTTTAACTTTCTCAAAGGTTCTTTACCAATCCCACCACGCTCCATTCTTTTCTACTTAGTTTCTGGGAATATGTTAAGTGGAGAAATTTCACCTCAATTCTGCAACATGACTTCTCTTCAAGTGCTTGATTTGTCTCACAATAATTTGAGTGGAATGATGCCGCAATGTTTTGGCAACCTCAGTTCCATGTTGGTTTTAAACTTGGAAGGAAACAACTTCCATGGCACTATTCCTAAAACATGGGAAACTGGAAACAAACTCAAAGCAATTAAACTAGGACAAAACAATTTGCAGGGGAAGTTACCAAGATCACTAGGCAACTGCAAAAAGTTAGAGTTTCTTGATCTTGGAAACAACAAGATCAAAGATACTTTCCCATCTTGGTTGGGAGCCCTTTCTGAATTGAGGATTCTCATTTTGCATTCAAATAAGTTCCATGGCACAATTGCAATCAAAGTGCTAGAGACAAATTTATTGTTTCCTAAGCTCCACATCATTGACCTTTCAAACAATGGATTTGTTGGCACTTTGCCAATAAACTTGTTCATGAGATGGAATGCCATGACTAATATTGAAGGGAAGAATGCAACATATTTGCATGCATATAACCACCATTTCACAGCAAATCCTATCTTCCTTTCGTATTTTTTTCCTTACTCAATGACAATAACAAACAAAGGAAAGAAGATGGAATATGCAAAGATCTTAGAGGTTTTCAGAGCAATTGATCTTTCGTGCAACAAATTTGAGGGAGAGATTCCAGAAGTAGTTGGGAACTACTTAAAGGGACTTCAACTACTCAATCTTTCTAATAACATCCTTGATGGTCAAATCCCTCCCACCTTGGGATATCTTACAAATCTTGAAGTACTTGACCTTTCTCAAAACAAGTTCAAAGGAAGAATTCCTACACAATTGACACAACTTAATTTTCTTGAAGTCTTCAATGTGTCTCACAACCATTTAACAGGACCTATCCCTAAAGGTCAACAATTTGATACATTTGAAAACAACTCGTTTGATGGAAATTCAGGATTGTGTGGAATGCCACTGTCAAGGAAATGTGACTACTACAACCCCAAGGTTTTGCCTCCACCATCTTCAACCTCTAAAGGACATGAAGACTCTAGCTTATTAGCTGAATTTAGTTGGAAATTAGTGTTGCTGGGTTATGGAAGTGGATTTCTCATTGGTGTGGTCTTTGGAAACATTGTTTTTACAAGAAAATGTGAATGGTTTATGAAGATATTTCAAATCAGGTATCCAAGAATCAGGTATCCAACAAGGCAAAGGAGGGAGGGCGTGAAAGATTGAATAGGAGCATTGAGTGATGATTATATCATTTCATTATATTTTTGTTTTCCTTTTTTTATTTGTTTGTGATTACAAGTTCAATGCAGGTCCAATGTATATAATAGGAATCTCAATCTTCATGAATAAGTACTTATACTACTACTTCAATAGCTAATATGGAATACTAATAATTTCCTTCTAGCAAATTCTTTGCATTCCATAAAAAGAGAAACAAAGAAGAAAATTATATTCATTAATTTGAAAATGCAATTTATCATTAAAAAAAGTGCAATTTGAGACACATATGATATTTTTGTTGTATATGACTTGTTGTACTTTTTGTTTAAATTTTACAATTCTTCACCTCCTCATCCTACACATCCTGGCCCTTAACTCCTTTCTTATAAACTACACTCATCCTTTAAATCCACTAATCGGATTTGAACACCATTCTACAAAAGATGAACTCCTACAGCTAATTCAGATAAAAATTGTAGTTTTTGTTTTAAAGTTAAGATAACCATACTATGATTTGCATTTTGTGTTGCATACCTGTGAAAGTTATGGTCTTAGATATATTTGCAAGAGAAATATTAGTAACAACTGTTAATTTGTTGCATGGAAGAATATTGAGTTAGGGTGGGATGGAACCAAAAAGGGTCATTTGTTGAAACAAGA